GCGATAGAAAACCTCTATTTCTGATGGTGTGTGCGACCTTGAGATGTAAACGTCCGCCGCTAGAAAATAAAGCCCTATAATTCAAACATTGTGTGGCGTATTAAAACCAAATAGAGCCTTTAGAGGATCAGAATTTCAACCAGACTGATAGCGATGACAATTACCCGGCTATGACTATGGTGCCGAATGTGCCCCATCAAATGCCGAAGGTACCCCGGGTTGGGGCACATTCGGCGAATTTGACTTTTTTTACAAAACTGAAAAATTTTTTAACTAATACTATTTTTATATATCTTTTTGGTACTATTTTTGATAATTAAGAGTCAGAGGACAATAATCAGCCATAAAGTTGTTATATATGTTCAATAAGTACTGAGATATAGAGCTCTAAAAAAAAAGTGCCGAAGGTGCCCCAGTCTCCCCTACTTCGTGGCAATATATAGGAAGAAGTTGCACAAAATTTCAAAAAGTGGCACATTTGGTATCAAAATAAAAAAATGGCACAAGAGTGGCAAGGCCGATAAAAGGTATCAAAATTGATACTTTAGTGGCACAACGGTCACGCTGTCAATTGCCCTGTGATATTGGGTGTAACGCTGAGATGGTCCTTCCGAAACAGAGATGTAAATGATATACATTTCCGTATAATACATATGTCAGAAACATCGGAAACCAACCCCGAAGCATTAGGTTTTTGACAAAATAGCTATTTCCATTAATCAATTTAGAAATGACACATGCTTTACTGAATCGATTTCAAGCATGTGACAAAATGTTGAGTTTGCAACATATGAAAATAATCGATTAAGATCCCATAAAGTAATATATTCCTAATCAAAATAAAATTCTATGTTGATTTAGCCATATCCGCTGTTGAAATTACGGTAGAGAAAAAATGTAAAAATTTCACTGACAGAGCTAGTACCTTTAGGATGTTTGGTATTACAAATGGATATATCGGTCCATACTTTGGTATAACCCCCATACAAAATTAACCCCCAATATTCTGTATTTTGGGGCAAGATTTTCAATCGAATTATAGTTCGGTATTTTGGGTTTCAATTGTATATCAAATCTCCCTATCCATAATCAATATTGATCCAAGATTTGTGGGGCCCCCTTATAACGGTATGAAAAGTTCGGTCGAATTTAACGATCTGTATATTCTTCACCACACTGTAGTACAGGGTAATATGTCTTTATCCATATGTTTGTAAAAGACAAAAGGAAACGAGATAGACACATGGTTCTTTTTGAGAATATGCATAGAATTACTTTCTGAGTCGATTTATGCATGTCCGTCCGTCTGCGCAAGTTAACTTATAAACAAAGTACAAGTCGCATCAATGATCAGAATTGGATGAAATTTTGCACAACTCATTTGTTTGGCCCAAGGACGAACCCTTTTGAAATTCCATATATTTCTCCGCCCGATTTTAAGCACATCGTGTCCCAAAGGCCAAAGTTAGGCCTATCGACAAAACATTTTGCACAGCGTACTGAAATATGCAAAGTTTTGAAATCAGATCAGATTTAGATATAGCTCACATATATAGTTGCGTTCGATTTTATAAAAAATGGTGCATCAAAGACCCAAAGTTATTCCGATTGGTACAAAATTTGCACAACGTACTGAAATTAGCGTAGTCTAACGTGTGTGAAGTTTTGTTGAAATCGCTTCAGATTTAGATATTGCTCCCATATATAGTTTCGTCAGATTTTATGTCAGAATGGTGCATCATAGACCCAAAGTTAGGTCGATTGTCGCAATATTTTGCACAACGTATTGATGTTACTATAAACAAATGTGTGTAAAGTTTTGTTGAAATCGCTTCAGATTTGGATATAGCCCCCATATATAGTTTCGTCCGATTTTTTAGTAAATGATGCACCAAACTCCTCATGTTTGTCAGATTGACACGAAATTTTTTACAACGAAATTTTTTACAACGTATTTTCCACCGACTTTATTTTAATTGTCTCTAAATAAAGAACGGTTTTCTGATTGGGGTTTGCTTTAAATCGATTTACATAATATGTCCAACTGAAAAATTTAGTATAGGTTGCAGAATGATATGTTTATGCATCGATCTAAGTCGGTTCAGATTTAGATAAAGGTGAACTAAAATAGTTAGTTCAATTTCATGTTAATTTCTTTCAAAAATACGACGTCTATTAGGATGCATCTGTTGAATATACCCAAAGTGGGTATAATATAGTCGGCCCCGTCTACTTTCCTACTGGTTCGTATATTATGTGAATAGTGTTCAGACAGTGCTGTCAATGTCTGAATTTCTGCATTTTATGAATGCAATTCTTAATATATATATATATATATATATATATTGATTTTATGTTTTGTCCGCCGATTTACTTACATGTTCTTGTTTTGCGGCATTATAATAATCCTATACAATGTTAAACTTTCGGTTGAGCTTGTTGCTCGTACCAACACTTATTTGTTATATTGTATATTATTTTGATATAAATGCCAAATTATATCGAAATAATTTGGAAAATACATATGCGAATTTTATTTCACAAATACAGAGGTCGGCAACAGTGTCTGAAATAATGAAACAATGGAATGCAACTAGTCACAATTGAGTAAGTGCAGAAATCGAGGTTGTAAACAAACGAACAACAATCGAGGAGATATACAGAGGACGATACAAAAACAAAACACAACCAGAGAATGAATGCTTTTTTTCTAGGCAGGAATACATTTGTGTTGGTAAAAAGCAATTATTATTATTATTATTATTATTTGGTCCGTGTCTAGGGGTAGCCTCCAAAGAGCGGTCGTGGAAATTTTATAATAGAATTGATTGTTGTATCACATTGCACGTTTTCAGAGGCTGCAGAAAATTATCAATCTAGTCAGGGTTTGCTCACAGCCCTCATAATAAAGTACCGATCTATTTTCGGTATTTTGAGGGGTTTAGTCGTATTCTGTTAGGGTAGAAAATATTTATGCGGACAATTTTCTATATTTGGACATATACTCCATATAAAATTTCCGTCCTACTTCCATACTTTTAAGTTTGTAATTAAAAAATATGTTTGCCGAAATTTTTCGATGTAGGTCCATCTTTTGGCATAACTAATTTCACATTCTGGATTCCGGTTGAATAGAAAACATTTTTTCCAGAAAGTTGTCAATTTAGGTTAATGATTTTTACATTACTCCCCCACAAAGGCCCCGCATAATTTGTTTTTTCATTTTTCCAAGTAAACAAATTACTAGCAGACAATGTCACAGTCACTATATTTAAGAAAATTTTAATAAACACCACATGGTACAGGATAAAAAAAGTTCCGCCGGAAATTTTGCACAGCGTACTGAATTAGGTCCAGAATGATGTGTGCCAAGTTTCGAGAAAATCGGTTCAGATTTAGATATAGCTCCCATATATAGTTTTTTCCGATTCTATGTAAATGGTGCACCAAAGTTCCTATATACCTTTCGATTTGCATGAAATTTTGTACAGCGTACTAAATTAGGTCCAGAATGATGTGTACCAAGTTTCGATAAAATCGGTTCAGATTTAGATATAGCTCCCATATATAGTTTCGTCCTTTTTAAGGTAAATGGTGCACCAAAGTCCCTATATATCTTTCGATTTGCATGAAATTTGGCAGAGAGTACTGTATTAGGTCCAGAATGATGTGTGCTAAGTTTCGTGAAAATCGGATCAGATTTAGATATAGCATCCATATATAGTTTTTCCCGATTCTATGTAAATGGTGCACCAATGTCCTATATACCTTTCGATTTGCATGAAATTTGGCACAGCGTACTGAATTAGGTCCAGAATGATGTTTGCCAAGTTTCGAGAAAATCGGTTCAGATTTAGATATAGCTCCCATATATAGTTTCGTCCTATTGAAGGTAAATGGTGCACCAAAGTCTCTATATATTTTTTGATTTCCACGAAATTTGGCATAGCGTACTGAATTAAGTCTAGAATTTTGTGTGCAAAGTTTCGTGAAAATCGGTTCAGATTTAGATATAGCTCTTATATATATTTTCATCCGATTTTAGGTAATTGGTGCATCAAAGTCTCTGAAAATTATTTGATTTGCACGAAATTTGTCATATCGTACTGAAATAAGGCTAGAATGACGTGTGCTAAGTTTCGTGAAAATCGGTTTAGGTTTAAATATTTTATGTAGTTGGTGCTCCAAAGTCCCTATATATCTTTCGATTTGCACGAATTTAAGTATAGGGTACTGAATTAAGTCTAGAATGATGTTGCAAAGCTTCGTGAAAAGATCCATAGCTAGGCCGATTGGCACAACGTACTTCAGATATAGATATATAGCAAAAACGCGTCGTCTGTTAGGATACATATGTAGAATATACCCAAAGTGGTGAAGGGTCGGCCCAGTCCGACTTTACTACTTTCCTTAATGGTTTTTCTTAATGAATTTTGGGGTCATCAGGAAAAAATCATAACACTATAAGTCAAAAACTTGACTTTGTCCTTATGGACATTTATTTTCAAAAATAATTCCCCACACTATGTCCATAAGCTCCATGCTGTCACAATTTAACTTAACTCATTACACCATCCCTCCATTTTTGTTTTAATTTACACTCGCTCTCTGGACGCCTATAAACAAAATGTCCAAAAAACATGCAAGTGAATAATGTTGATGATGACGTTTAAATGGACTTGCTTTTATTTTGTTTTTGTTTGTCTTGATACTTAATATTTATTTTGTTTCTCTCTGTTCTTTTCGTTTATCTTACAGATTGTTTGTGGCGGCATTGTGTAGTGGAAACTGTGATCGCGGAGTCCGGTCGGTATATGTGCTCCAGCAATAAAAAGTGAATCATCTCCACACATCTGGGCAAAGCAAAAAAACCCCAAACAAACCGAACTGAACTGAATTCACCATAAAAAGTAATTAACCAGTGCAGTAAGCAGAGCAGAGGCAGACCGGCGACAGAGCGCCAAACGTACAACAAACAAAAACATTGTTGTTGTTTTTATTTTTTGCCTTAACTGGAACCGCTGCTGCCTGAGACGATCTGTGTTCAACATCATGGCAGTAATCTACAGGTAATTCAACTAAAAGCACAACTGAAGCGCGATAATAATATCAAACCAAAAAATTGAATTGTAAAATAAACAATTAAAACCGATTTAATAAAACAAAACATCATCAACAACAACAAAAATCAAAGTAGTTCCGTAAAACCGGATTAGTCGAAAAAAGGCGTTAATTCACAAAGCATAAACCGAAAAGAAAGGTATTGAAAAAGTGCAGTCATGAAAACGAAAACTTTACGCGTGCAAATAAGACTCTAAAAATCCTCCAAAATATTAAATAACTTCGATATTGTCTGCGATCATTCATTAATATGCCTGAAAGGTTGTTTTCGGAAATAGCTGCTATGTTGTAATCGGTGATAGTTTGTCGATCCATATGTTAATATCTATTTTGCGGGTGTTTGATACCGATTTTCACTTCGACGAAAGTAACTGAGAGGAGGCCAACCCATCGACGGTGCATGAAGACGACGACGACGTGCCCGTGTTCTCATTAATATTTGACAATAGTCGGTTTGTTTACGATACGATAAGAGCCGTTATTACAATTAGTTGTTGTTTTTGTTGGAACACTTTATATGGCAGTACATGACGATGTTAATTGTCAATTGTCGGAGAGATATGACGTACAGAAATGTGCAAATTGTGGCACAAAGACGTCAATACGAACATTTGTGAATTAATAATATTAAATGGTATTGAAGTACCAAATTTGGTATTATATGCTGTGTTCAACTTCATTCGCCTGGTTAATAGATATTGTTTGTAGATTTTAGACAATTGAATTGATATTTTATCTTGATGACTTTTCTCAAAACATCAGAAAATTAGGCGAATTTTTTCCTTATTCTTTATCCATTTCATTTTGTGATAAAAGGAACAACAACATGATAGATTTCTAATCCACATTTCTCAAAACATTTTCATTTGTATTCCGATCGCCATATCTTGACTAGTTGAAACGATTTAGCAATGTATGGTCGTCCATCCATTATACTTTTTAGACGCAGTTATATACCAATCATCATGGTCGAGTCAATGTTAACACCTCTTACAATAGGTGTTAACATTGGTCAATATTTTGGGGATGGAATGAACCGAATTTGTATAGGCCACAATATTGACCCGAGCTTGATGATATTTTACACGGAGAAGAAATGAGCGACGAAGAAGCTGGCTATATGGATTATCAACCAATATTTAGCGGGTGTAATGGACCAAGACTTTTGTGTCAACAATAATCTCGAGGTTTACATATTCAACTTTTGTAAGCAACTCTGTAGACTTCTTAGGAGAGAGATGTATGAAAAGTGACAAGGGGTACGAATTTCAAAAGAGAATCGTAAAGAGCAGCAGCAGAGTTGCTTAAAAAAGTTGCATGTGTAAAGCCAGAGTATATAAATGAGTGATGGTTCGAATTTAGTCTGATATTAATGCTACTGATGTGGGAGAGGTACTAAAATTTGTAAAGTGATCCAATCTTGCCATTACCACATTAGAGAATGCAAATAACGCGTATTATTTCGCCCAGGGTGTGAATTTAGCTCCACAGAAAGTTAAAACTCTAATATTGTCTTCGTATCACATAGTTGGAATATTTCCTTTAACAAGGTATTGGTATTTTATTTAGAATTTCGTGGTTCTATAGATGTGGCTAACAAATAAAAACTCTTCATATTTGATCTACTATGGAGAGTATTCCTCATTAAAATATATGTTTAGGCCTCAAGTGTCTTTCGACCAAATCAGCTTCAGAAATCTGGTACATGTAATTAAGTTCGAATTTAATCTAGGCTTGGTAAATATAATAGGTTGTGCAAAGGTTGGATCCAATCGGAAATTCCATTCTCCTAATATTGGATTTGAAAATATTGAAAATGTTGACCATTTGTGGGGGATGTACCAGAAAGAGTGGACCGATATTCCTCATCTTCGAACTTGAACTAAATTTGCAATGTTTGGATGAAATCGGTTACTCTCTTCGAGAGTTATCGTGCGCACCAGCCAGCCAAGACAAACAAATGAATTCGAAATTGTCTGAAACGGATTTGGTCCAAAGAAACATTGGGTATAAAACCAATATTTCAATGATGCACATTTTTGCCATATCATAGGCTGAGGGTAAAAAATAACCAATATCGGACCATTATAAGTCCCCATTATCTTACTTTTTTGTTATTTTGAAGATTTCAGTCATTTTTTCAACGGAGTTGGCTCTAATTGGATATTTTGGGATCTTATCAAAATTTATGAATATCGTTCGATTTATATTTATATTTTTGGTTCTAGCCTGATTTCCCAACTAAAGTGTTTGTAGTTATACCCTACACAACTATGTTGTCAGGGTATTATAGCTTTGTGCAGCCACAAGAGTTTGTAACGCCGCGAAATATTGCTCCTAGACCCACTTTTAAGTATACCGAATGTCATATCTCGTCTAGCTGAGTCGATCTAGACATGTGTGTCCGTCCGTCCATTATAATTTGTAAACACGATACAGGCCACATTTATGGACCAATCTTCACGAAATTTTGCATGTTGGAAGGGTTCGGCCCAATGAAGACCCCTATTGTTTTTGGCAAAGATCGGTTAATATTTAGGGGATGAAATGGACCAAATACTTAATTTTTGTCCGTTTTTCTGGTCGCTCTGGAGGTCGAAATTATGGACCAAACATCGCGAATTTGAGTGAAAAATTACAAAATTTGTATGCTATGGCGTATGTATTTACTTCTGAAGGACATATACCCTAGAAGTTGGCAGTATATCCAAGAGGAGTGGCTGGCCTTTAGATTGATACCAAATATACTCGGATGTGGGAGTTAACCTTAAATATTAAATATTATTATTATTATATAGTAACCCATTAACACTGGAAGGCGGAAATATAGCGCTGATCGCTTTAAAAATTTTCAAGAGCTTCCAGTTATGGTCAAGGACAACGCCTATAATTTTCCCAAATAAAAATTTTGGATGAAGTCGATTTAGCCGAAAATCACAACACATACTGGTTTTTATTTGTTATTGGTATAATTCGCCGTGACATAATCCTAAAAAGTCCCGAATGATTTTAGGTATGTTGAATGTCCATCAAATTCCATATTTCCACCGAAGTTGTGTAACTAGGCATTCTGTGCTATTGCAGGTTAAGAAATATTTTTGCAAATATATTTTGATATAGGTTTATGTTTTGACATAGCCTCCATATAAAGGCCCCGCACCTAGATATTGTCAAAAAAAGTCACACTATTTTAAGCCTGGCGAAAGGTCGACATTCCTCATCATTGCATAAAATCCGATAACCCTGTTGTCATTTAAATGTATATTTAAGGGACTAAAATTAGTTTTATGTGACAATAAATCTTAAAAAATACGATTATCAAAAAGTCAAAAAAAGTATTCCCACCTTTGTTTCGATTTAATTTATTAAATTGTTCAGTGATATATTGCTGTCACTTGATCAACGCCTGCATTAGTATAATTCTAAAAAATATACGCTATAAATATATAAAAGAAAAAATCACATAAAAATATAATTTATTTTAGCATCAAAGGCACATATTTTATAACATTATTCAGTGATATATAGCTGCCATTTTGGAACAATGCACCATCTGCGTAATTTTCTTTGTGATACTGAAAAAGAAAAAAAAATAAATAAAAATAATTTTAATACAGAATATTGACTTCGACCATGTACAAATTAAAATTACTCGATAAATTTTTGGACGTGGTCCAATAAAAAATGTATTCACCTTTATATCGGTCAAGATAGAAATAATTGATTATATTATGTTCTATATGATTAACAGCTGTCAGTTACTTAGTTCAATGATCGTTCCATTAAAAAAGATATTGATGAGATGTTCTCTTTGAATGATATATTATGGAAATATCATTCAGATCGGAATAAATTTATGTTTTGACATCCGGGGGAGGTAATTTTTTAAAAAATATTTTTTATTATGAATTTCCTATTAAATATGTATCTATTCTTTTGAAGTGTCTATATTTAAATCATCTGGAATTTTCAAGAATTTATACTAACTCAAATAAAATAATAACCAGCCATTACTTTGTGGTGAGTTGTTGTACACATCCACATGAACATTACCGCAACAAAAATATGTAGTTTCTGTATTCATATAATGCAAATAATTATATTTAGTAAACTATTTTAGTTAATATTCATAATTAACTAGTTTATCTCCCCTCCCCCCCAAAAGTGGTAATTAAAACTTCTGTTTCTTTCGAACGATTCTAATGAGCGTATTTGTTAATGTTTCTAATGTACACTCAGGTGTGTGTACGCTTGAATGTGTGTACTACTTATTCACATGTTAAAAACTAAATTGTTTTGGCTTTTTACTTTTACGTTTGTGTTGTTGTTGTTTTTGGTTTTTGCAAATACTGATGAATGAAATTTACCCTCTATCTTGTACCGGAAAGCAAACTAAATTATTCCACTAGATTTGTTCATACTCTCATACACACTGAGGTGAGATGAGTGAGTCCATGATTGTGTGTCGATTTGTTGAATGGGAATTTCCTTTGGGCAAAATAAAGGAAATTCTTGTTTTGTTCAAATCTGACCGATTGATGGGGTACAGTACTTCGGTTCTAATGGATTGCCCAATTTGATTGAACATTGTAATATTTTTACCAAATCTGCATTAAATCCAAAAATAGGGTCTATAAGGTAATTTCAACTGGTACCTTCCTGTCATCCGTGTAGAGTCCAGTGTAACGGGAGTAAGATTTAATTTTTTTTTTCAGTTCGGACAATATGGTAATATTGGCGGAGAAACAATACTTTAACCTTTCCACTGCGATTAATACCTTCCTTCTATATAATTCTGTCATGACAATCCCCCCTTCTGTAGGGTATTTCAAAAAATCTCTCATTAGATACACTAATTAACTGCAATAAATTTTCAACAAACAAATAAGTTTCATAAAAAAGGTGTTGCATGATTACATTTCGATACGATGAAATGGGGTTTGCTGAA